TTATTATTTGTTTATTTATTTTACATTTCTTTAGTTGCATCCTGGTTTCTGGCCTAGGCCAAAATTATATCATACATCCCAGGCGTCTTCAGAAGAGGAGGGGTTACTCAGCTAAACGCACCCTCCAGTCTGCATGCCTGGGCTAAAGGCAAATTAATTACAGAAAGTAAATGCTACGTGATGGGTATACACTGATACTGTTTTTTTGATCGGCTAGTACAAGTACCGGTACTTTTGGTCAAGTACTTGCCGATACCGATTACCGATACTTTGCGGTGTGATTTGCATCAATACAAAATGTATGGATACAAATTGCACCACCAAAAATAGCATGTGATTTGAACAGGAGTGTGATTCCTGTCCAAATTGCATGCGATTTCCTCACTGCTCCTGTGTGAACCCAAGCTGTCATAGCCCGAGTTCACACAGGTGCGGTGCAGAGAGTGAGCGAGTGGGATGTATACTACGTTGACAGATGCTCCATATTCTCAGCTGTAGGAGAAAAAGCGGCCGGTATCTGAAATCCCTGTGGCTTTCTCTCCTCTCCTTGCAGGCAAGACAGTTCGGGCTAGAGGGCTTTTAATTGGTCAGCACCGTCACATGGACAGTGCAGACTAATAAGATGCAGTCTAGCCTGTAATGTCATCGCTGCAAGGAGAGGAGAGAAATCCACTTCACAGGTCTGGAGATTTGAAATCCCTGCGTTTTTCTCTCTTCTCCTTGCAGCAACGACAGTATGGCATCTGATTGGTCAGCACCATCCATGTGAAAATGCTGATCAATCAAAAGCCCTCCAGCCCCAAATGCCATCCCTGCAAGCAGAAAATGTAAAAAAAAAAACAAAACATTTTTTACTTTTTGCCATAAAACATATCCAATAAAAAAAAAAATGCAAGGATTAACTGTGTTGTGTTTTACTAGGTGACATGCTGGCTTTTATCTCCCTGTTTGCAGAGAGATGAAATCTGTGTTGTTTACACTCACAGATCTTTCGCCTGTCAGCTGCTCCCCCAATCACCGAGTCCAAACCATGAATCGCTGGCTGGGACCCTATTATTGAAACCTACGGGAGCCAATGATAGGGCAGGTAGGACAGCGCACACGCCCCCTACCCTGAAATGCAAACACACATACACACACGTGTGATTTTGCGCAGAGCAGCCGCCCTGCAGAAGTAAAACTGCTATAGGGCAGCCTGGAAGTGGTTAACATAGAACTATGGTCTTCCTTTTCTTTTAATAACAGTGAGTGGGGTAGGGGTTCTTTATTGCAGATGAGAAATGCAATGTCTCTTCTCCAATAACATTAATCTACCATCCTGCCTGCTCAAAGTCTTTCTTAGAATGTCCTAAGCTGCACATGCGTAGCTCAGTATACCTTTTGGGACTGTGACTGTGTTTCGGGATGACTGAACTTCTACAGGTTACATCATCCTACACTGGTCAGTCAAAATGTCCAAAGACAAGTAACCAGAAGAAGCTGGGGAGAAGATGGGACCAATGGACCTTACAGGTGTCAGACCGCTGGAGCTAAGGTAAATATCTCTGACTTTATTTCTTTTTTAAAGTGTATTTCCACTTTTGCAGCCAAATTGGGATAACGCCTACTTCAGGGCTTGAAAAAGCCGCTTGCCGCTCGCCAAATGCAAGGAGAAATTCCACTGTGGCAAGCAGCGAGCACAGATGAAGCATGGAGCAACTGCACCTGCGCTCCAAGCCTCATTGTGAAGCCGAGTTCTGGTTTACAACTTCCGGTTTCCGGCTTCTTCGGCTCCGCTGAGAGGAGACACCCTCTCCACCGCTGCAGTAATCATTACTGTATACATGTCATATCACTATAATGGAGTACAGGGGAGCTGGGATATACATTATTGTATACATGTCATATCACTATAATGGAGTACAGGGGAGCTGGGATATACATTATTGTATACATGTCATATCACATCACTATAATGGGGTACAGGGGAGCTGGGATATACATTATTGTATACATGTCATATCACTATAATGGGGTACAGGGGAGCTGGGATATACATTACTGTATACATGTCATATTGCTATAATGGGGTACAGGGAGCTGGGATATACATTACTGTATACATGTCATATCACTATAATGGAGTACAGGGGGCTGGGATATACATTACTGTATACATGTCATATCACTATAATGGAGTACAGGGGAGCTGGGATATACATTACTGTATACATGTCATATCACTATAATGGAGTACAGGGGAGCTGGGATATACATTACTGTATACATGTCATATCACTATAATGGGGTACAGGGGAGCTGGGATATACATTACTGTATACATGTCATATCACTATAATGGAGTACAGGGGAGCTGGGATATACATTACTGTATACATGTCATATCACTATAATGGAGTACAGGAGAGCTGGGATATACATTACTGTATACATGTCATATCACTATAATGGAGTACAGGGGAGCTGGGATATACATTACTGTATACATGTCATATCACTATAATGGAGTACAGGGGAGCTGGGATATACATTATTGTGTACATGTCATATCACTATAATGGAGTACAGGGGAGCTGGGATATACATTACTGTGTACATGTCATATCACTATAATGGACTCTTTATTCTAAAGAAAACTGTAATTTCATAAGCTTTAAGGGGGCGGACCTGGGCAAGGTTGGGTGGGGCAACGGGTGGGGCAACTGGTGGAGAGTAAGTTTTGTGACTGGCTAGTAGGTCTGGACTCGAAATGTTAACCCCTGACCTACTTTATATTTGTTACAAGTCCCAATTCACATAGCATTACTTAAAAAAAGTTGCAGCTTACCTTTTTTAAATGCTCTATTCCGAACCCTCCAGCAAGGAAAACTTAGGTAATTCTATTTGTTTATGAGGGGGCTGGGCAGCAGTGTTTGCCCTATTTAACCCTGTCTGTATTGCAGATCTTCATTAACAATTGTAGCTAGATTTGAACACTGTGTTCCAAGAAAGAGTTAAAGGCTGTGCTTCTTGTATTGTATGTTAAAGAGGGCAGACTTGGGACAGGCTCACTCTAACATTGTTTAAAAAACTTTGTAGCCAGCCATTTCCATTAAGGTTGAAATCCATCTTCATTTTTCTTCATCTCACTTTCTGTCCTGCTGATAACATTTTACTACACAGGGAGTGAGGAGAACTCTACAACAGCTGGATATGGGAAGGCTAAAGCCCCTGTCAGATATTTCTTTCACACAGTTTTTATAAGGTCACATTGCAGAAGCCATGTACAAAAAAAGAAATTCAATAACAAATACCACTGACATTTCAGGACCACAAAGGACCCCTTTCTCAAGGTGATGGCCCCAAAATGTCAGTGGTATTTGATTTTGACTTTTATTTTTGTACATGGCTTCTGCAATTAGACTTGATTAAAATTGCAAGGTGTATTGGCTGAATGCTGGTGTCTTTTTCAAATGGTTGTTGACAGTATCACCGTGGGCCATGCACTCCCAACTAAAGAGGAAACACAAGGGTCTGGTGCTGGATGGTTTTCTGTCTGGTAAAACCATTGTCAGCAGGACAAAAACCGACAGTCTCTCCATTGAGGTTCCATATAGCAGTAAAAGCAAGCAGTGGTTCTAATCTTTCCATGCTCTATCTATACTTTAATAATCATTTCAAATGTTTAATGGTGTTAATTCTAGGTACTTAGCACAGTGTGGGGGTTATTTACTAAAACTGCAGAGTGCAGAATCTGGTGCAAATCTGCATAGAAACCAATCAGCTTCCAGGTTTTATTGCCAAAGCTTAATCACTTTACATCCGCCCTATAGCAGGTTTACTTCTACAGGGTGGCATTCTTTCCATCGGAGGATCACTTCTGCTGTGAAATGTCACAGCACAAACTGATCTACAAGTCCAATTACTCACCGGTCAGGGAGTAAAAACAAAGCTGTGTCTATGTTTACATAGGCACAGTTCTGTTGTGACGGGGAGTCATGGATCTGTCTCTGCAGAGCTGAGAACGCGATCCATCACTTCACCTAGTAAAAGCACCACCCAGTGTACACCAAGCACATAGCTAGGCACACACTTAAACCTTTGATCACCCTAGATGTTAACCCCTTACGAATCAGTGTCATTAGTAAAGTGATTAGTGTATATTTTAAGTACTGATCAATATATTAGTGTCACTGGTTCCCACAAAATGTCAGTGTAAAAATGTCCACTGTAATATTGCAGTCCTGATATAAGTTGCTGATCGCCACCATTACTAATTTAAAAATGTTTTTAAAAATTCCAGTATTTGTACCTTTTTAGTGTGTAACTTTTGCACAAACTAATCAATATACAATTATTGGGATTTTTTTTTTTTTACCAAAAATATGTAGCAGAATACATTTTGACTTAAATCTTACGAAGAAATTAGAATTTTACAATTTTTTTTATTGGGTATGTTTTATAGCAGAAAATAAAAAATTGTTGTTTTTTTTTTTTTTCAAAATTGTCCGTCTTTTATAGCACAAAAAGTAAAAACTGAAGAGGTGATCAAATGCCACCAAAAGAAAGCTCTATTTGTCTCCATAGACATGCTGGTAGGTTAATTGGATCCTGTCTAAATTGGCCCTAGTATGTGTATGTATGAATGTAAGTTAGGGACTTTAGATTGTATGCCCCTTGAGGGTTAGGAAGTGATGTGAATGTACAATATATATGTAAAGCGCTGCGTAAATTGACCACACTACATAAGTACCTGTAATAAATAAAAATTTGTGGGGGAAAAAAGGACATAAATTTCATTTATGTACAGCATTACATGACCGCTCAATTGTTAAAGTAACGCAGCGCCATATCTAAAAAAATGGCCTGGTCAGGAAGGGGGGTAAATCTTCCGGAGGGTAAGTGGTTAATTGAACAAGCTGAAGTTAGAAGCTGATTGGCTACCACGTACAGCTGCACCAGATTCTAAGTGCTCCAGTTTAATAAATCTCCCCCTATGTGTATTTATTTTATCTCCACAGATGGTGCCTTCCTTCCTAAATGGGATCATGTACACAATGCGCTGGACTCGCTCACTTCAGCTCACTTTAGCTCTCATTAAGCCTGATGCTGTGGCCCATCCAATTATATGTGAAGTAAGCAGGTTTGTTTTCTAATCATATAACTGTTGGATAGAAAATCATGCAAAGTTTCAAAACAAAAAAAGAAGTTTGCCATAAATTAGCATACGTTAGCTTCTTTCATTTCCTGTGCAGCAATCCGGCTGCCAGTGGGTGCGCAGTCACCGTTTACTGAAATTAAATAGCAGGCTGATAACAATCTCTTGCAGTGTTTCTAATACTGCAGTTCTGGCAGTTTCATATTTCAAATTGGATTATCAATAAATGGGCGCACAAAGATACCCTGGACTGCAGCATTAGGTTAAATAACTCATAGGTCCAGCTGCAACATACTCAAACACTAGTTTGTGGCATGTTGCAGCTGAACCTTGAAGTTATTTAGCCTAATTGTGGAGTCCAGGGTATCTTTGCACGCTCCTTTATTGATAATCCTTTGGCCTTTATTTCATCCCAGTTCAAATGTGACTTGGAGCAGCCATTCTAGAACCCTTACCCTTTGGCTGTGAATATTAAACACACGGTTAGAATTCACAGAGCACATTGATGAATTCAGGGAGTTACTAGACTTCCTTTTAACATTTCTGATGGTTTCTTGCAAATGTCCTAAACACATTTTTATTCCTTATGTGTATAGAACAGAATGGAACCATGTTTCAGTGTATATTGAAAAACACACTGCATATACTTTTGGACTTAGAAGCAGAATTTTCTTATTTTTTTTTTTTCTATTACTCCTAATAGGCTGTACATCAGAAGATACTGAATAACAATTTCCTCATTGTAAGAAGCAAGGAACTTAAATGGCGGGTTGATGATTCACAGAATTTCTACCATGAACACAATGGTGATTATTATTTCTGGGGATAAAACATTACAGTAACAAACATGTTATACTTGCCTGCTTTGTGCAATAGTGTTGCACAGAGCAGCCTCGATCCCCGACCCAATTCTTGGGTCCCCTGCAGGTGCTCCTGGCCCCTCCCTCCTGCCGAGTGCACCCAGAGCAAGCTGCTTGCTCTGCGGGTGCTTGTGCATGCTCCTGAGCCGACCATGTTTTTTTTTTTTCCATAAGACTCTGCCCCGCCCCGCCCCGCTCCCTCCCCACTGGCTGTGTTTTGGTAGCAGCAGGAGCTAATGGCTCTCACTGCTGTGTCTCAGCCAGTGAGAAGAGAGAGACCCAGGCTCTCGTGTACAGTGTTGGATCGCGACCAGGCTCAGTCAAGTAATAGGGGGGCTGTCGGGGGACTGCAGATATGCATGAAGGTAAAAAAACCTTCAGCCTTTAGAACCACTTTAATTATTATTATGAGAGCAGCCTTTCTCAACTCTTTTTTTTTTTTTTTTTTTTTTTTTTTTTTTTTTTTTTTTTTTTTTTTTTTTAAACTTGGGAAACGTTTGAAATCTCGGGGTACCCCTGAAATAATTTTCTGATCTACAGCTCATAGAACATTAGTGTGATTAGCAAGCTGTAGATATAATAACAAATATTTGTAGAAATAGAATAAATATTATATTAAAAATGTGATAATGTATAAGCAAAACAAACTCTACCAATTTTTTGCGGTACAACTGTGGCCCAAGGGTACTATAAATGTTATCATTCCACAATTGTACAGTATGATCCATAATTTACATATAGGTGTTAAATGTCAGTAGATTTATTTTCTCATATTCAAGCTATAAATGGCAGTAGCAAGATCACATCAACAAAGTGTAAATCCTGTAGGTCCCTGTACAGTGGGTGAAGACAATATACATGTACAGATTGTTCACAGAAACAGTGTCACATATAGTGCAATTCTATTGCAGTCAAATCCCTTCTCCAGAGGTGCTAATCATACAATTTATTTTCTGGTATGTTAAATGTATTGAAGCTTGAGGATAGCAATGTGTATGCTGGATATGCTAACCATTTACATTGGAGACAATTCAATAGCTGACACAGAATCAGGAAACTTAGGCGAATGTGGAACCAATATAATAACTCCATGATTACTTACCTATAGCAGTACTGCCACCCCACACTGCTGGCCGTACCACTTTCTGATGACATCATGAGCCACAACTATAGCAGAAGCATCAGATATCAATGTGTCCTGCTTGTACTCAGTAAAACACCCTTTTTAGGCAACCATTGGCCAGATGTACTGTTCATGTGCCACCAAAGTGTATAACGGCAAAACCCTGGTTAAGAAACCCTGTAATAGAATGTTCGTGAATCCTAAATCTTCAACTGAAGTGGTCTGTTAGCTGAACAGATTACAGCAAATAAATGTATAATCACAGCAAGCTATTAGTTATGTAGTGAATGCAGACAGATTATTTTATATAAAAGTGTAAATTAAGAATATTTGCATTGGTAAGCCACAGTAATGATGTCTTCTAAATATTACCACTCAAGCAGCCTTCCATTTGCCTGTTTATGGAATGTTTGGCTTTTCCAATTCTTCTGTATTACTCTACTACTGTTCAACAGTGTCAATTACACTGGCCTCCATGGTTTCTTTGTCAAGAGATGTCTCACTCCCCATTGTACACTCACTGCCCAGTATAACTCCAGTCCCTGCATCTGCAGTGTTGTTAACCACTTCCTCTCTAGAGCAATATTTTTGTTTTTCCCACAGTAACCTCAGGAGAAATACAGGCTGCTCTGGAAAAAAGATGGTGTGGTTGTTTCAAGGAGCACAATATGACAATTGAACAAAAATGAGCTGTATGGTCAAGTTGCCAGAAATAAGCCTTTACTGTGCCAAAGCCACAAAAAAGCCCGGGAGCAATATTTCCGACAACACCTTGATATGCCTCAACAGACCTTTTTGTGACATTGGCTTCTTTCGGCCATGCATCTAATTTTTGTTCAAGTATCATATGCTAGTATTGTGCTCCTTAAAAACAACCACACAATCTTTTCCAGAGCAGCCTGTATTTCTCCTGAGGTTACCTCTGGGTTTTTCTTTGTATCCTGAGCAATTCTTCTGGCAGATGTGCCTACAATCTTCTTTTTTCTTTTTTTTTTTTTTTTTTTGGTCAACCTGACCTTGGCAATGAGAGATACCTGTATTTTCCACTTCATAACAAGTGATTTAACAGTACTGACTGGCATATTAAAGGCTTTGGATATCTTTATATATCCTTCTCCATCTTTATAAAGTACCATTACCTTGTTACGCAGGTCTTTTTACAGTTCTTGTCTTCTTCCCATGGCTCAGTATCTAGCCTGCTCAGTGCATCCACGTGAGAGCTAACAATCTCATTGACTATTCATACGCAGACACTAATTGCAATTTTAAAAAGTCACAGATGTGGGAAATCAACAGTAATTGCCATGTTAACATTTGTCACCTTGTGTGTCTGTACCAAGGCCAAACATTCCAGGATATGTAATCTTTTGATCAGGGCCAGTTGGGTGATTTCTGTTATTATGATTTAAAAAGGAGCCAAACAACTATGTGATAATTAATGGCTTCATATGATCACTACCCTTTAACCACTTCAAGTCTGGACACTTTTACCCCCTTCCTACCCAGGCCAATTTTCAGCTTTCAGCGCTATCACACTTTGAATGACAATTGCACGTTCATGCAAAACACTGCACCCTTATGAATTTCTTAGCTGTAAAAGCAATAATTTCTCCTTCTCTCTGGCTGCATTCTTGCAGCCATTGAGAAATGCTGTGTGAGCTGTGATTGGTCACAGCTTGTCACATGGTACAAGGCTGTTGTGAATAGCCTTGTACCATGTGAACTCTGTGATCATTCACAGATTTCACACGTAGTAAGCAATGATGTCAGAAGTGACATCCTTGCTTACTACTCTGCATGTGATCACTGATTGGCCAATCAGTGATCACATGATCAGGACCTTGATCAGAGCAGAGGTCCCGTATGATGATCGGTGTTGCACTGTGTCCAGAGGACGCAGCAGGCACCGGATCGCGGTGCTGCATGCTCCCAGGGAGTGCACACAGTCCAAAATGGCGGGCGCCATTTATGAACGGCAACCCGCCCCTGGACAGCCATCGTCCGGCCGTTTATATACAGCGGCCGGATGGCAAGTGGTTAATAAAAGACAGTGTTTTGGCATAATCAGTCATATTTTTAATGTAAATGCCAACATTTCACAATATTTTCATTTTATATTAAATGAATTTTATTGCACATAAGCATAATTTAACCCCCACTTTTTTGTACACAAAAAAGATTAAGTAGTGTAGAGTTAATGGCTACCAAATGTGTCATTCCTTAAAACTGTGTGCCCAATAAATGGCACACAAAAATATCGATAGGCGATGCTTTAATTCCCCTTACAGCTCATCAGTTTAGAGTAAATTGGCCCTAGAATTTTTGCTCTCATTCCCAACATTCTTGGTAATACATAACACGTGTCGCAGTTGCTATTTGCATACATGTATGCATCCTGTGTATGCATTTGCCTTCATGGGTGTGCGCAGAGTGACAGAATTGCTTCTAATATTTTTTGTATTATTTTTATTTAATTTTATTTTTTACCTCATTTTTCATTCAACTTTATTGCTATCATAAGGGGGCTAACAAGCCCCTATGTGGTAGTATTGGGCAGGTGACATGTACTCTTTATGGAGACATCAAGGGTCTATTACACCCCTAGTGTCTCCCCTGCCCTCTGTTCCAGCTGACTGAGCACAGGATTGTGCTCCATCAGCTGTGTACTTGGCTTTCTAGCCGGGTGAAGCACAAGTGCCCTTAACTGAGCTTTTCTGGTTGGTGGTACTGCAGAGGACATTGGAGAACAGATGGGAGGAGCCCAGAAACCACCAGGAGGCACTATGGGAGGTGGGGGGCAGCACTCCCTACTCCCTGGTCATGTTAAAATGATTGGACGTCTCTACAGTCACTCTATTACTTTTACATATAGGTCCCGAGCCCACTGATAAAAATGAAAAAATGTTTTTAACCACCCTTTGGATGTACCACATGTGTTCAAACAGATGAACTAGTTAAAATACCCATAGACATTTATAGGGCCCAACCTGCAGAGCAGAATGCAGAAACCACTTGTGTATTGAGTCAACACAGCTCTTCAACCAGTATATGAAAGACACCTTGGAGGTATGTGTAATTTACTACCTATAGTCACTTCATAGTGTAGTTTTTTTTTTTTTTTTTTTTTTTTTTTTAAACTAAATGTGTGAAGAGAACATATTAAACTGCCACTTGTGTTCAAAAGTAGGCATCTTCAGGTGCTAGCATACAAATTTGTTTTGTTTTTTTCCAGGTCCTCTTCCCTCTGGCCCTTTAATACTAGGGCACTCTAATAGATGCTTACCCTGGCCCACCACCTCCATGTTCCTGTACTTTACTAGTGTCTCCTTACTATTATGATTGTCCTCTTATTACTATTATGAGTGTCACCACAATAGCACTGGGGTGCTGGTAGCCAGAGCCCTTAACCATAGGTGGGGGATATTGCATAATAGAACATTCTTTTATTATGAGCTACCAAGGCACATTTGAAGAAATGCAAGCTGGCCTGCTGTCACCTGGAAGTGCTTACTGTTGATCGTATATGGCCAGGGGCGGACTGACCATTTGGAAACTGGTACCTTTGTCATAGGCTTTTTTGAGTTTGGGCAAGGACTCGGGGGCCCCATGATCCCCTATTGCCCGGGGGCCCTGTGAGTTGTCAGTCCGCCCCTGTATATGGCATTATATTAGGGTAAAGTGGAATATCTGGTAAACCACTAAATGTACAGTTCTGATTTAGATTTACTTTTTTACTTGCTGAAGGATTTGTACATACAGTCTTGTGATTTACACATCTCTCTCACCCTACACAGCCAGACAGAAAAAATACTAATGTCCTAGTTCCGCAATTCTGCTTCCAGTGTCTCCTCTCGAAGACCATCTTGCACACTAAATAATGCATTTGCATCAATGCCTCTGTTCATTTAGCAGGGAGGTGAGACAGGAAGCAGTAAAGCTGAAGCAAAGAGTATTTGAGTGATCTTCTTGTGCAGTTTGGCAAAGGTGTGTGAATCACAAGAATGGCTATACAAAACCACAAATCCTTAGACAGGTTAACCACTAGACATACGACATACCGTTAAGTCCATATATATTTGGACACAGGCACAATTTTCATACTTTTGGCTCTTTATGCCACCAAACGAATTTAAAGTGCAGACTTTCAGCTTTAATTCAAGGGGTTGAACATAAATATCAAATACAAATTTTAGGAACTGCAACCATTTTTATACACAGTCCCTCCATTTTCAGGAACTCAAATGTAATTGGACAATTGAATATAGTCATAAATAAAATGTTAATTTTTAATATTTTGTTGAGAATCCTTTACTGGCAATGACTGCCTGAAGTCTGGAACCCATGGACATTACCAATGACTGGGTTTCCTCCTTTCTGATGCTTTGCCAGGTTGTAACGACAGCTGTCTTCAGTTGTTCTTTGTTTGTGGGTCTTTCTGTCTTTAGTTTTGCCTTCAGCAATGGAAATGCATGCTCAATTGGGTTTAGATCAGATGATTAACTTGGCCATTGCAGACAATTCCACTTCTTTTCCTTCAAAAGCTCCTGGGTTGCTTTTGCAGTGTGTTTTGGATCATTGTCCATCTGTACTGTGAAGTGCTGTCCAATCAACTTTGCTGCATTTGGCTGAATCTGGGCTAACAGTATATCTCTAAACACTGCAGAATTCATCCTGCTGCTTCTGTCACATCATCAATAAACACCAATGACCCAGTGCCACTGAAATCCATGCATGCCCATGCCATCACACTGCCTCCACCATGTTTTACGGATGACATTGTGTGCTTTGGATCATAAACAGTGCCAAGCCTTCTCCACACTTTTTTCTTCCCGTCATTCTGGTACAGATTAATCTTAGTTTCATCCGTCCAAAGAATGCCTTTCCAGAACTGGTCTGGTTTTTTAGATGTTTTTCGGCAAAGTCTAATCTAGCTATTTTTCAGGCTTATGAATGGTTTGCACCTTGTGATGAACCCTCTGTATTTGCTCTCGTGAAGTCTTCTCTTGATTGTAGACTTTGACAATGATACGCCCACCTCCTGGAGAGTGTTCTTTGCTTGTCTGGATGTTGTAAATGGGTTTTTCTTTACTATAGAGAGGATCCTGTGATCATCCACCACTGTTGTCTTCCGTGGACATCCATGCCTTTTTATGTTGCTGAACTCGCCATTCTTTCTTCAGAATGTACCAAACTGTTGATTTGGCCACTTCTAATGTTGTTGCTATCTCTCTGATGGATTTGTTTAGTTTTTGAAGCCTTACAATGGCCTGTTTCACTTGCATGGACAGCTCCTTTGAACACACGATGTAGGTTCACTGCAATAGATTCCAAATGCAAATACCACACTTAGAATCAACTCCAGACTTTTTACCTGCTTAATTGATGAAGAAATAACAGAGTAGCCCAAACCTGGCCATGAAACAGCTTTTGATTCAATTGTCCAATTACTTTTGGTCTCTTGAAAAAGGGGGGATGGCTACTCTTAAGAGCTGTAATTCCTAAACCCTTCCACCAATTTGGATATACATACCCTCAAATTAAACCTGAGTGTGCACTTTCAGCCCATACCATTATGTAACTATAGCTTGCATATGTTTTGGTAAATACCTGAAAAAAACTAAAATTGTGCCTGTGTCCAAATATATATGGACCTAACTGTATATGTGTTACAAATGTGTATTTGGTAGTATGCCTGTTTTCACTTTGAATTCTTTCTCGGGTTAACTTGAAATACATTGAAATGCAAGGCAGCCAAACTCCCACAATAGGAGATTACACTGTCACTGATGGGACCATAAAACATTTAAAACTGAACTCCAGGAATTCTGCAGAGTCACATGCAGCTGCTGTGCTCGCCTCTCCCCTCCTGCCCAATCACAGAGCACTATATGAACCCATTCACAAAATCAGAAGCACCTATGAATGAGCAGCAGAGGGGCAGGCAGATATGCTGTGTTTTGTGAAAGCAGTTTCCTGTCAGAGCTCTGGGAGTGTATGGATAGCTTTACTTCTGGTGCTCCATAAAACTGTCATATGTAAACTAAAGAGATAAGTCCATGATGTGATATGCACTTTGTTGAATTTAACTCATGCCAGCTGGTTGGCTAAATTCCTGAAGTTCAACTTTAATTTAGACTAGAAGCCTCCATTAATATAAAGACAGTAGCTGTGTTTCTGTTTATGCTATGTGCCCAATGTCCTTTATTCTTGATCAGATTATATATAAATATATTGTGTACATAACCTATATTTCTATTTTTTTTTAATTTTTTTTTTTAAGGACGATTCTTTTATCAACGATTGGTGGAATTCATGTCCAGGTAAAACGCATATTCATTACTTATTGATTTACTGAAACTGGAGAATACCAAATCTGGTGCAGCTCTGCATAGAAACCAGTCAGCTTCCAGTTTTTTTTTTTTTTTTTTTTTTTGTTTTTTTTTTTTGTCAAAGCTTAATTGAAAAAGCTGAAGTTAGAAGCTGATTAGCTGCCATGCACAGCTGCACCAGATTTTGCACTCTCCAGTTTTAGTAAATCAACCCCATTGTCTGGCTCTGTGCAAATACTGTCTTTAGAAAATCATTATTTGCATGCGATCCTAGCAGGACTGCATCAGTAATTCACTGGGGGTAGACAGGAATACTAAAGGTATGTCGCATCACTGTAGGGTGCCTGCTTTTCAGCTGTGTACTAAGCTTAGTTTTGATGCGCACATGATAGTTGTGCTTTAAGAAATTTTCTTGTATAGTAACCTTTTGGATGTATTTTTAATTACATTATATACACAGTGGTCAGTTTTATCTGGTTTCCTTTCTAGTAACATAAATGAGTTAACAACTTTACACTTTAATATTTAGGATGTTGTGCAATCAAAGATGCCCCTCTGCACTCCAACGCTATAGAGATCGCTTATTAGAGCAGTTGTGGACTTCTCAGCTAGAACAACTCTGGTCATTCCCCTCTGACCTTCCTCATTTTTGCTAACAGAACTGCTGCATCAGCAATCAATTCATGGTCATGTACATCACACATCTCCATTGTAATATCTGAGTGATCAAGAGCTGAACCTCTTTCCATGTCTACATGCTATGTATTAAGATACAGCCACATGATTGATTGTCTGTGTTAAATACAATAGTAGGAGTACCCACCAAAGGTTACTTACTGTAATTATAGGTAGCGTAATAATTGTGTTCATTTTTCATTTCAGTCAAAAATACCAAGCATGTATATAGTTTTCTGCTGAACGGATTGATGAAGAACATTAAAGTATTAACATCTGATTCTTTTGGTTGATATGCAGTGGCCCCATGCGGGCATACATTCTAGCACATGATGATGCTATCCAGTTGTGGAGGAGGCTTATGGGTCCAACAAAGGTCTTTAGAGCAAGAATTGATGCTCCAGAAACTGTTCGGGGAGAGCTGGGACTTACTGACACCCGTAACACCACTCATGGATCAGGTGAGGCCCTTCTAACAAAGTTCTGTTACACAAATAAATTAGTCATTGACATGTCATAGTGCAGAGTGCAGCACAGTGGCTAAATGGTTAGCACTCCCGCCTGGCAGTACTAGGGTTGTTGGTTTGAATCCCAGCCACGGCACCACCTGCCTGGAGTTTGCATGTTCTCCCTGTGATTGCGTGGGTTTCCTCCGGGTACTCCGGTTTCCTCCCACACTCCAAAGACATGCTGGTAGGTTAATTGTATCCTGTCTAAATTGGCCCTAATATGTGTATGTATGAATGTAAGCTAGGGACCTTAGATTGTATGCCCCTTGAGGGTTAGGGACTGATGTGAATGTACAATATATATGTGTAAAATGCTGCGTAAATTGATGGCGCTATATAAGTACCTGAAATAAATAAATTTGTTATGTTGCAAAGAGTTAACCCATATTTCAGTTTTATTAACATGTATCTAATTATCTTAAAGTGGTAGTAAAATCTTCTCCCTGCAGGGTAATGTCATAGCACATTATGAAAGGCTTGCCTTGGAATGAAGCCCTCCAGCAGCGTGCTGTCACCGCTGACAGGGCTTGTATCTTTACTCGGTCTTCCTTCTGTGTTCGCAGGCTCTGGCCGCTTAAATGGCCGAGCCGTGATGACGTCACTCCCACGCATGCGTGCAGGAGTCTGTCACAGCATAGAGCTCTAAAGGAACAGCATGAGTGTGCCGTTCCTTCAGAGTGCATGCACTGGTGACATCACCGGCTGCAGAGACACTGAATATCTTCTAAACAGTGCTTTATTGTAAGCTTACCTCAAGGTACAAGTGTGCAGTGGGAGTTTACTACCACTTTAAAAAGTTTTTTTTTTTTTCAAATATATATGTAATTGTCTTCCAAGTATACTTGATTTTTTTTCATCTCCTTTCCACAGCTGACACCTTCCAGCACTACACACATTGGAGTTGATTTACTAAGGGCAAATAGACTGTGTACTTGGCAAGTACAGTTGCACTCATTTTCCTTAGTAAATATAAATTTGGTAAAGCTTCACTTTGCAAAGAATACCTAATCGGGTGAAAGGAAAAAAAAAAAAAAAATGTTTGCTTGCACATGATTGGTAATGGAAATTAGTACAGTTACTAAGCTCTGGGGAAAATGGGTGCAACTGCACTTGCAGAGTGCACAGTTTATTTGCCTTTAGAAAATATACCTTAATGCCTACTTCAATCCATTCAGCGGTCATATTCAGCTGTGTGTCTATTGACTTGGATTGTAAAGAACTGCTCCAACTAACCAGATAAATGCACATATAGCAAAATTATTGCAAATCTAAGGACTATAAAACTCATGGTATCTTGCTGCCTGTAAGCAGTGATTCTTGTACTGACTGTACCTTCTGAACCTCCTCCTCAGCACCTTCATAGCTCAGATGGCAGGATCTTTAAATTCTTTGACACATCAGTGCATATTCACAGGACATTGTATGTGTCACAGAATTCCAGGAAGTACATTTATGTGATTCTTTAAAAACTGTTTTCAAACTTCAAGATTGTACAGATTATTAGAATAGGACATAAATAATTAACAACCCATAACAAGGAATATAAAGTACATTCCACACACACTCATTATTATGCTACCAAAATGAGTGTGCTGTAAATTGCCTCCAGCATTGTTCCTGTTTCTTCTTGCTGGAGGCTGCCATTTTGCTGAATCCCAGAGTCCCTTAGCAGCAGTAAATCTTTAAGCTGTCAGCAGATCGACCTCTACATTTTTGGCACAGTGACAAAAGGTAGAGGGCAAACTGTGCATGTGCAGAGCAGGGTGAGAGAGTGTATTACAGGATTTTAAACCGCATAGGGACTTAAGTTTTACATAGCTATATCTGCAAAAGGGGCCAACCTGAAGTGATCCAGCAGGACTTTCTTTCTGACTAAAGTTCCACTTTAAATGTAAATATTTATTTTATTAATTTGTTCATTGATTAAATGGTCTTTCGTTCTAGATTCCACAGACTCAGCCTGTCGTGAAATCTCCTTTTTCTTCCCTGAATTTAATGTAAGTCACTGGTATGAAGAAGAAGAGCCTCTTTACAGAGCTGGGCCTTTATGCTATGACCAGGAAAAATTGGAACATCGGCTTGTGCAACAATGACAGAATCACGAGGCTGTGCACTGTGGAAAGGACAACCGCCAATATTTCACCAATGGTCTTATTCTCGGGATGTATTTCCAATAAAAAGACAAAAGCAGAAATCTTGAAGGGATATATGGAATATTTATTAATTTTGAGCTGAACTTTCTTCTTAAAGTGACCGCATATACGGTAATTTTAGGAATTTCTGGGGGTGTACACAACTGTTTTTGAACAAAGGCTACACCGATCGCCCTCGTTGTTACATTTTGTAAGTGATTTTTTTTTTAATTTCTTGGCACGTAAATGATTCCTAAATGCCTGCGGATTGAAATTGACAGCACATTCTTAATCAGACTGCACTGAAAATTGTTCAAGTATATTTGTTCAGTCTTTAAAGTACAGTTTACATTTAACTCTTACATCTTACGTTCTCAAATAATGAGTTACGTGGTCCCAGTAGCCTTTCAGGAAGAGAAGATGCATTGGCTTCAATAGAAATCATGGACTGTCAATATTTACTATAAATTCTAGTGTTAAGATGAGCAGCCCACAAAGATAGAGATATATATATATATATATATTTATTTATTTGAGAATAGAGCTTGAAAATGCATATCATTAAAAGTTGGAAACTATATCGTATGCCTCCTGATTATTTCTGCTAACATTTTATAGTAATTCTGAATACCATCCACTATATTTCATTAACTGTCACTGAGAGGAGACAAACAAAGAATAGTTTAGGGATTTAATATAGTTGGCACTATAAAATGAAATACATGTGGATACAATGTGCGATCACATCAAGCACAGACTGGCGTCAAAATGAAAATCTTGTCCATAGGCCACTGCAAGGAATGGAAGACAAATTCAGAGGGTGATGCAATACAGCAGCATTTGCTAGAATGTGTCTAAACTCTTGGAACACAGTTATTCTGAGCTCAGGGGCTTTTGATGCCATGTCCATGCAGAAAAGTATCTGACATTAAATTTATCTGTGTTGTTTGTTTGATTTATTTTTATAGTTTCATTTTGATTTAAAAAAAAAACAAGAATGAGTCCTCATGTAAAGTGATTCTAAAGGCTTATTTTTTATAGAAAAAAAAATATGTCTATATTTACCTGATGTATGTAGTAGTTTTGCAAAGAGCAGCCCGGATCCTCCTCTTTTCTGGTCTCACACAGACTTTCCTGGTCCCTCCTTCCTGTCGGGTGCAACCACAGCAAGCAGTTTGCTATGGGGGCACCCACTGCTCCTCTTGTGTCCATTCACACATGGAGCCATGGCTCGGCCCCACTCCCTCTCTCTTCTCATTGGCTCACTGGCTGTGATTGAAAGCAGTGGGAGCCAATGGCTTCTGCTTCTGTCTCAGCCAATAAGAAGAGGGAGTCCTGGGACAGACGAGACTCCAGTGCACATCACTGGATTGAGAGGGGGCTTAGGTGAGTATTAGGGTGATGCTACACACAGAAGGTGTTTTACCTTCATGCATAGAATGCATGAAGGTAAAAAGCCTTGAGCCTTTACAACTGCTTTAACTTACAGGCATGTTACTGTTGTAAAATAATTGTGTACATTTAAAACACTCTAACCCAGGCTTCACATCTAAACTTAACTATGTTGTTATATGTTTATGTAGAGTTTTGTTGATCCAGATCTGTGTGTACCATTCTGATGTGCTTTGCTGTTCATGCTGATTAGATGAAGTCAGCCCTGCCCTCCATTTGTATATCACTGCATGAAAATAACACTTGATACAATAAAGAGACAGATATTCTTGCTTTCTCATGACAGTCCAGTGACTATGGCTCATAGGAAATTATTATTATACAGTATTTATAAAGCACCAATAGTTCACTCAGCGCTGTACATTACAAAGGGGGACAGAACATGTGACAGAACAACAGCAATACAATGCAAAACATGAGGGGATCGAGGGCCCTGCTCTTTCGAGCTTACAATCTAGGAGGGAGGGATGGTGGCACAGGAGGAGATAGCTGTGGGGGATGGGGTGGTAGGAAGAGTGGAGGAGGTTGGCAAGTTAGCAGGGGGTGGGGTAGGCTTCCCTGAAGAGGTGGGTTTTCAGGGTGCGTCGAGAGGAGAGTAGGTGATAAAATGATGGATTGGGGCAGGGAGTTCCAGAGGATGGGTGACGTCCTGGAGGCGGGCATGGGAGGAGGGGACCAGGGAACTAGAGAGAAGGAGGTCTTGTGAGGAGCGGAGTGTGCATGCTGGGCAGTACTTGGATATTAGGTCAGTGATGTAGTTCAGGGCAGTATGGTGGACAGCTTTGTACGTCAGTGTTAGGATTTTGAATTTGATCCGTTGCACAATCAAGAGCCAGTAGAGGGATTGGCAGAGGGGGGTGGCGGAAATGGAGCGGTTGGAAAGGTGAATGAGTCTGGCAGCCGTATTCAGGATCGACTGAAGCGGGGATAGCCAGCGGCGAGGCAGGCCAGTGAGGAGGGAGTTGCAGTAGTCGAGTCGTGATATGATGAGGGAGTGGATGAGCTGTTTAGTGGTTTCTGGGGTTAGGAACGTGCGTATTTTGGTGATGTTGCGGAGGTGGAGTTCTGCACGAGCTTGTTAAAGATTGGACTTGGGGCTGGAAGGATAGGTTGGAGTCCAGAATGACACCAAGTACTCTGGCCTGCGGGGCGGGTTTGATGGTGGCGTTGTTGGATGTGATGGAAAAGTCAATGGGGGGTGGTGTGCGGGCTGGGGGGGAAGACAATAATCTCAGTTTTGGAGAGGTTCAGTTTAAGGAAGTGGAGCGACATCCAGTCTGATATGTCGCTCAGTAGGTGTGTGATTCGGGCGGAGACTGAGGGGGTGAGGTGGGGGGTTGAGAGATAGATTTGTGTGTCGTCTGCATATTGGTGGTAGTTGAAGCCATGAGAGTGTATGAGTTTGCCAAGGGAGGAGGTGTAGATGGAGAAGAGAAGGGGCCCGAGGACGGAGCCTTGAGGGACCCCAACAGAGAGGGGGAGTGAGGGGGAGGTGGTAGCACTATAGGTAACGCTGAAAGAGCGTTGTGACAGGTAGGATGAGAGCCAGGAGAGAGCAGAATCTCTGAGGCCAAGGGAGTGTAGTTTTTTGAGGAGGAGGAGGTGGTCGACTGTGTCGAAGGCCGCAGAGAGGTCAAGGAGTAGGAGCACTGAATAGTGGCCATTAGCTTTGGCGGTTAGCAGGTCATTGGAGAGTTTAAGTAAGGCAGTTTCGGTGGAGTGTAGGGGGCGGAAGCCGGACTGTAGGGGATCATGGAAATGGGCCAGATGTGTCAAATTTTGCCCTAAAAAAGATTTGTGATTGTAATGTGATTGCGTGCATTCCTGTGTCAATATATAGAACTGCCATTCATTCTGAATAGCATTCCAATGCACTAAGGCCACAAGGACCCGACACACAGGTATGCTTGGTGTGGTAAGCACATCTTTGTCTTTCATGTAACTTGACAGGTTTAGTGTCCATGCACAATTGCTTGAAAAAAAAAAAAAACGCTGCTCCTAGAGGAGTTTAGCGTTTTGCCTATAGAAGCAAATAATGTTATCTTATGTGTCCTTGCACATTAGGTCGTTTTTAGAGGCATATTTTAAGCCAAGCATTTAGAGGCAGAAAAAAAACCTTCTATTTTGTGTTTTTGAGAGCAGTTTTCTTGCAGAAAAAAATGCTAAACACTAGCACAAAAATGCTCAAAATTTGCTTTTTTTTTTTTTTTTTTTCTCTGCCAAGAGCATTGGCGGTTTTTTTAAGCCAGTGTGTATGGACCCTTAAATCATATAGATATCAATACACTCAAAATTACAAATAGAGAAAAAGGTGCAGCGCTAATCGTGATCAAATATTAATATAGCTTACAAAATAAAGACATTAAATTCTCATAAATGCGTTATTAAGTCTAGTGTCCTTGCATTTGATTTTTGATCACAGTAAGCGCTCGCTATACAAATCTATATCTAGTAATACACTCAAAATTGATTAGTAACATTGAATTGGCTTGTTAGATTCCTTCCTCCATGCTTTCCAGTACTAAATGCTTTTGAGAGTAGGTGGGTGGTGCCGAAACCCTAGTTTAATCGTGTAGATTGCCTGGATTATGGACTAGTAGCTTCTACACACCAGAAAGCGTTCCTTTTGTCATCTTGAGCTGTGCCTGCCCCAACCAGCTGCTGACGAGCATTTATGCCAGTCAACACACCACCTGTATTAAAGAAAGTGTTCATTTCCAAGTCTATGTACACAATTTCTCTTCTAAAAAGTCCAGCTGCAGGAGAAGTGTATTGACCCCATAAAAACACATATCCTTTCTGTACTTTTTTAAAATTCACTTTTAGTCCTAATAAGTTTAAATGTGGTGCGCTAACTCCTCAAAACCTATAAAAACAATAAACATAGGTCTACAACTATAATCTGTGAAAAATAGTGATCCAGTCCCAAATTAAATGTCTTAATACGGTGCTTTAAAAAGTGCCTGACATCCACTTCAAACAAAAATGCTTCCCTTGTGGATACTCTCCCTGCTCACTTTATAATCAGACCTAGTTATCTGTGGTACTTCCCATCACCAATACGTGTGGTATGCACTCAACTATATTAACCATTTGACGCCCGGCCAATAGCCGTATGGCGGCCGGAAAAATGCACTAGCTTTCCGGGAGGCTGCCATTTGGGGTACTCTCGCACATGCGCAGTTCGCGCGCTTGCAGAGCCGTGCAGCGACGCAATCTGTCACCGGCCGTGTACCTCGAACACAGCCGATGACAGATCTAAGTATCAACCCCATTGCTGGTACCATGTGACCTGCTGTGACCAATCACAGCAGGTCACATGACAGCTGTATACAATGGATGGCTTCATTCATGCCATCCATTGTATACTAGTGTCTAGCTGTGAATGGTCACAGCTAATCACATGCACATGTAATGTGATTAGCTGTGGCCAAATCACAGCTAAGCACAAAAAAAAAAAAAAACCCTGAATGAATCGATGTCATTCAGGTAAATGCTTGCTTATAGCAAAATAATTCTTTGCTATAAGCAAATTGTGTAAAAAAAAAAAAAAAAAAATACTGATCACTTCCCCAAAGTAGTACAATGTTACTATGGTAACATTGTACTACTTTGGACATAGTGAAATATGAAAAAAAATCTTAAAAAAAAGAAAAAAAATGTAATAAAAAAATTAAAATAATGAAAAAAAATATACATATATTTTTTTTTCACACTGTCACGTCAGTGTCCCTGATCACCGCCATGCCAGTTATATGATGACGCTGTACTGCACTGGTGACAGTATGTAAAAAACAAAATAGTGAAAATAATTTTTTTTTTTTTTCATTTTCTGAAAAATTATGACAAAAAAAATACAACTTCAAAAAACTTGCAATGCCTCTTATGAAATACGTCGGACTGTCTACTCTGCAAAAAGGGGTCATTTGGGGGATATCTGTACTGTTCTGACATTCTTGGACCTCAAGAAATTAGATTGGCTGTCAGTACTTCAGGATTGATCAATATTCAGATCTATACCATAGTTTGTGAACTCTATAACTTTCCTACAAACTAAAAAATACATCCTAATTTGGGTTATTTTCACCAAAGACATGTAGTAGAATACAACAAAAATATTTATTTGCAAACTTTTATAACAGAAACAAAGAAAAACATGTTTTTTGTTCAAAATTGTTGATTTTGTTGTTAATTTAGCAAAAAATAAAAACCCTGGCGATGATTAAATACCACCAAAAGAAAGCTCTAGTTGTGTGAAGAAAATGATAAAATTTTAGTTTGGGTACAGTGTTGTATGACTGCGCAATTGTCATTCAAAGTGTGAGAGCTCTGAAACCTGAAAAATGGCCTGGGCAGGAAGGTGTAAAATTGCCTGGTATTGAATTGATTAACATAGGTCACACACACTTTTTAGGTTGGTCATTTTCTGCTCATCCGCCCCTGTCCTTTAGTAGCTACTTCCTATGTACTGTCCCTTTAAGAGACCGGACTGCAAAAATCTCCACTGGGATGGTGAATGCTTCATCAGCCTACTACTGGCTGCCCTCGGATATCTACACACCGTGAGCATTGTTGGGTTTATGAAGGATTGTTGTTTCCAAACACTGAAACACTTGGTGTGGCGCACATTGAGATTTGGTTATTGTGAGTACACACAATTATCTTATTTATTGTTTTCTACCAAAACTGTGTTGCACTACAGAATTTTATTAGCTTTTTGTAATTATATTGCACGTTTGGAGTCATTTTTGTTTGAAGCAGATGCCAGGCACTTTATAAAGCACTGTATTAGGACAAATTTGGGACTGGATCACTATTTTTCACAGATTATAGTTGTGGACTTATGTTTATTGTTTTTTTTATGGGTTTGTAATGTATTTTGAGGTGCTAGCACACCACATTTAAATGTATTATTTCTTTTGAGTGAAAGTACACTTGGTGAGTGGTTGCAGCCATCTCCATTTTTGATTTGTTCACGTAGCAGCAATACTGTTTATTATTGTATAGCAGCGCACGAGTATCACTTATTATAATTTTCACTTTTAGCCCTATCGATTCCAGTTTTATATGACAGGAATTAAATAGCCAAAGAAAACGGCTCAAGTATAATTTACTGTACATACTGCAGTGATGTCTGTGTTGACATTTTCATGAAAATGTACTTTTATTGGAGGTTAGGGTGTATACATTCCTGTGTAGTATGCAAGGCTGACTTGGTAATAAGTTTGTGTTGAACTGGCATGTGTTGATGGCTTTGTGGTCCTCAGAACAGACTGGTGATATTAGATATTGCTTGGTTAAAATTATATAAAAGTGGGACTGATGGCTACAGAAATGTAAAAACAAATTTGACATAGACTGCACTATGGATTATATACAGTGGATAAAAAAAGTCTACACACCCCTGTTAAAATGTCAGGTTTCTGTGATGTCAAAAAATGAGACAAAGATAAATAATTTAAGAACTTTTTCCACATTTAATGTAACCTATAAATTGTACAACTCAACTGAAAAACAAACTGAAATCTTTTTTTTTTTTGGGGGCGGGAGTAAACATAAACAACTAAAATACTGTGGTTGCATAAGTGTGCACACCCTCTTATAACTGGGGATGTAGCTGTGTTCAGAATTAAGAAACCACATTCAAAATCATGTTAAATAGTAGTCAGTACACACCTGCCATCATTTAAAGTGCATTTGATTAACCCCAAATAAAGTTCAGCTATTCTAGTAGGTCTTTCCTGAGTCTTGACATTTTCCGCAGAGCGCTTCCAAAGCACCAGAGGGGTATCAGTTAAAAGGTAAAGGGTATCAGTCAGGAGAAGGATACAAAAGAATTTACAAGGCATTAGATATACCATGGAACACAGTGAAGACAGTCATCACGTGGAGAAAGCAGCGCCATTACCAAGAACTGGACGTCCCTCTAAAATTCATGAAAAGACGAGAAGAAAACTGGTCTGGGAGGCTGCCAAGAGGCCTACAGCAACATTAAAGGAGCTGCAGGAATATTTGGCAAGTACTGTCTGTGTGGTACATGTGACAACAATCTCCCGTAGTCTTCATATGTCTGGGCTGTTGGGTAGAGTGGCAAGACGGAAGCCTTTTCTTACAAAGAAAAGCATCCAAACCCGGATAAATTTTGCAAAAACACATCTGAAGTCTCCAAAAAACATGGGGGAATATGGGGTGCTTCAACAACGTATTAGCTTAAGGGTGTGCACACTTATGCAACCATATTATTTTAGGGGTTTTTTTCCCTCCACCTAAAAGATTTCAGTTTGTTCATCTGAGTTGTACAGTTTATAGGTTACATTAAAGGTGGAAAAAGTTCTGAAATTATTTATCTTTGACTAATTTTTTTACACCACAGAAACCTGACATTTTAACGGGTGTGTAGACTTTTTATATTCATTGTATGTTACCAGAAATTCTTAAAAGAGAAGTTCAAGATTTAGAAACAAAAAATGATACTCACCTAGGTAGACACTGCAGCTGTGGATGCTACAACTGTCGCCTGCCGGCTCTGCACTGAGAACTGAGCGATCAAAAAACTCTGATTTCTCAGTTCTCAAGTTGTCAGCATTCTGTGAGCAGAGAGCCAGGGACTGTCAGTCTTCAGCTCTCTGCTCTGCCCCCCCTCCTTCCCTATCCTGCTAACTAGCTAACTGGAGCTCTGAGCTTTGGAGGGGAGGGAAGCTGCTGGCTTCGGCTCGCTGAGAGGCTGAACCAGCTTCCGGGCAGATCCAGGGATCTTTTCAGAGCCTGGACTGTCTCTGTGACATCAGCTGACAGTGGGGTTCAGTCCGCTCTAGGCTGAAAACAGGTCACAGGAGTGCAGAACTAACTTCACTCCTGTGATGCATAGGAGTATAACCAAAATAGCTTTGGCTATACTTCTTTAACCTTTCTATTTGTCAAATAATACATTTTAACTGGCACTGTATGACTTTATACATTTGATTCTGGGATTCCACTTGACACAAGGTAGTTAAAATTAAAAGAAAAATCACACAGGTAACTACATATACTGTAGACCTTTCCCCCCGCACAATTCTTACTCCACCACTCCTCACTTCCTTTTAGGACCTATCGTAAGTCACTTGCTTTGCACATGATAAATGCGGCAAAACAGTGTATTCCGGTCCACTGGCGCTCAGAATATTTTCCCACTGTTCGAGAGTGATTTCTTAGGGTCACCAGGATTGCGGAGATGGAGGAATTGATTTCTGTGGTGAAGGAACACCCCTAGAGATTCAGGAAGACATGGGCTTGTTGGAATCATTTTAAAACTACCACTACTTATCACCTATTAATGCATGGGAAATCCACACCCACTAACTGAAATATTAGATGCTGGGTTGTAATATGGAACACCCTGCTCACTGTAGACTTTTTTTGATATTTGTTTGAATGAGCTGAGACTCGGTAGCTTGGATTACCCTCAGAGCTTTTACCTCAGGAGTTACCCCATTAATGTACCTACGCGGATTGCATCTTATGCTAGATGAACAGTTTCTTTTAGTCCGGCTAATACATAATGATGTGACTGGTTTAGCTGCAATTACATAATCAATTACCCCCCCCCCCTTTTTTTTTCCTCTCTCTCTCCCCCTCCCCTCCCCTAAGACGTCACCTTACACATCTTTCTTCAGTCGGTTCTCTTTTTTCCTTTCTGACTTATCTTTATCTCACAACTTTGACACGCCCTTGCTAATCATATTTTCCTAACGGAATAGAGCATCTATTCGTATACAGGTGTGACTATTTTTTTTTTTTTAAGTAACCTACATTTTCCAGATACGGAAACACATGGCATATACGCCTTCAGATGATATTCTTGCCCTACACTACACGGTCCCTTTCCCTGAGAACTCCCTACTCATTGGATCATTGGCCATTATACTTATTTCTCTTACCTAATATAATCATTATATCGGCTGGTATGTAATATTCATTTGCTTTATGTGCTATTTTGTCTGGAGACGAATCACACTTTAAACCTACAACATATGACCCGTCTGCGATACGGGAGAATATATGCTATGTCTATGCGCGGACTGTGATCCGTATCTGTATATGATTTGACATACCTTTCAACGTTCAATAAAAACTTTTTTTGGGAAAAAAAATTTAAAGAAAAATAGGATTGTTTCCCCAAAATGAATCAATATATTTTAGTTGTTCAGTTTTAATTCTTACTAGTAAAACATAGCTTTGAATTACTATTCTGTTCTTCATCTGGCAATTTTGACAGTTTCTGAAGGTGGCTCCATGCTGGTAGACTTTGTTGGTTAGTGTACTACATCCACAATCAATGGAGCAACATACTCAGAATGTCTGATTCCAAAGGAAAACTGAGGGGCTTGACGTCGAGACAAGACTACCTGGGGAGAAAGACAAACATGAAGCACACTTAACATCTACTTTTAAAACCCAACAAGTTTATACGTGTTATGTTGAATATGGTACCTCCTTCAGTTTTCATCTGCAGTACTCTGCTAAAGTTTAGTACACGCTCTTGAAAGTTGTCACTTTTGTATATTTTATATTCCACTGCAGATATACCAGACAAAATATCAATTCCTAGAAACCCTGATGGTACGGCTGCCTTTTTGCTTCTACAGATCCCCAGTAATGTTTTCCCCCCGCCATGTTTCCCAGGCTCCGCTGGGTAGAGAGAAGATAGACCAGTAAACATCTGTTTGTTGATCTCCCCTAACCAGAATTAACATGGTATTGACATGCATTAAGTCACTTCTGGGTTGAGCTGTCACTTCTCCCAGACACTGAACAGGGACACCTGATGTCTAAATAAAGATAACCTGCCATAACAAAACAACATCACATAGATGACTTTTGGTCTACTGTGTAATAAAAAATAAAGTTAAGAGGGGGAAAAAAAAAGCAAAAAAAAAAATGTAAAGATGTAAAGTTACCCCCCCCCCCCCCACACACACACACACACACACTCTCTCTCTCTCCACCAAAAGCAATAAGTATAGGGCCATTATTCATGGTTACCTCTAAACTGTTGACCTCTAGGGGCTTTTAAATCTTTTTCTATTGAAAGTTTTGGGCACGAAAGTGTGTCAGTGTTTCACAAGTGTGCACAGTTTTAAAGTGTTACTAAACCCAGGACCCTGCATTCACTATATCTGGTCTCCCATGGTACATAGAACATGGAAGTACAATTATTTTAGTAAATTTAAACTGCTAAATACCTGCAGTCTTGTGACTTCTGTGTCCAGCCCACCACTAGCTAAAACTTGTAGGAAGAGTTTTTATTCTGCTCTAGGAGGATGGAAATTCCCTGACCTCTGTCCGGACAGCGCTGATTGGCCCTGTGCTGATCACATGCACTCACCCAAGAAAAAAAGAAACCTCTCCAGCAATACACACAAAACTGAGCATATGCATGCCTACGGTTCAGTCTACAGATAAGAGGTGGTCACTTGAAAAAGGGGAGGAACAGAGAAGAAAGGATCAAACAGCCTTTTGTTACACAATGCAGAGGATTAACCCCTTATGTTTCACAGTGAGTATAGCAAACATGCTTTACTGCATATACAGACTTATTTTACTGTTGTGGGTTTAGTAACACTTTAAAGGCTAAGTTAAATTCTAGTAACATGTTACAACACGTCTTCAGGGTGTTACACATTACTAAATCAACAGCCCATCCCCAATCCCTCATTGTGACAGTGGGGGGATCCTCTCCCTGCACCCACTGTCATAATTTAAGAACAATGTGGCAGTATAGGGCTCCACCCACATAGCCACATTCATTCACAGAGTTCTGTGAATGAATGAAGTCCAGTCCATCACCCCGGCAGATGGTTTGTAGTCCTCAATGAACTGCGAGGGCACTAGTGAGTGACCTCATAGTTTATTAATTCTTCCTGCTCTTTAGTAACTGTCTGCCTATATGGGAGGTACAGACAGATAGCTGTATGGAAAGTCTGCATGAACCTGAAATAGCAACCATGCTGATTGCGAGTGCAATGCCCTGCAGGCTTCTAGGAAAAAAAGTAATAAATATACATTTTTATCTGCCAAAAATGTGCATTATTTTTTTTTTTTTTTTTTTAATACAAAAGTGAACTTATCCTTTAAGACTTGACATGTTTTGTATCTATTTACTTTGGTGTAACCTAATTTTTTATATTTTAATAAAAATGGGTAATATTTTGCATTTGTGTGCCCTAAAATTTAGTGTATTTTTATCTGAAAATTTCAGTTTGATAAACAGTTGGGCTAATATTGTATGACATAAAAAAATTGAACTACCACCATTTTATGGTCCAGGGTCTCTGCTTTAGGAAAATATATAATTTTTGGGGGGTTTAAACTAATCTGTAGGCCTAAAAAAAAGTTTTTTTTAATGTGCACAAAAAACAAAAAAGGCTCTGGCAGCAAAAGCTTAAATAGAACACAGCAATGCACTGAACGACAGCATTCAATATACGCCTAAGCCTCACTTTCACATTACACTTTTGTTTACTTTTCACAGCATTACTCATTCTAAGGACACACTTAGATTTACACTTTTTTTCTTGGATGTACTGCTGATATTTAATTCAATTGTGGTGTATTGGGTAATCTCAGTATCATTAAGAATCTTACCCTTTCAGGACTATAGGCTCCTGGACCCGGTTTTTGTGTGGTGTCCCCAGGCAGGGAGTTTCTAACAGTCATACTGTACTGTGGAGGTTTATATTTATATGTTGATGGTTCAATAACGCGGTAGGTTCCAGGTCCTGGTGTCTGAGATTGGAGAGGTTACATAGATATTTATAGTATATAGAGAAGTCAATAAAAATGTAGCTTGCAGATACGATACATTACTACAGACAAACAACTTGACCACCTACTTTCTGCAGATCTTCATGGAAGCTTCCGATCTTGTTTCGTCCAGTCATAGAGTAGTTTGGTGCAGACGATTTGTTAACAAGGTTTGGCCCAAGCACAGAAGGAAGCGTATATGCTGCTGGACCTATAATATATAAGGTAACACCTATGTGACAAACAGTCCCAGAAAACACTGGTAAAGTCTGAGACAGCAAGTACTTGCAGCCTGGGTTGGGGCTTCTGGTCTGATAAAAGGGTTTCAGCAGAAGAAAGCCTTGACCTGGATGCAGGATACCTGTAACTTGAGGATTCTAGAGTTTGGCCAAGGAAAGAGTGGGTGGGTTCCTTGACCACCAAGCTGCCCACTAGATTCTAGGTTTTGTCTCCAGTGACTCATTAAAAGGCAAGTAGTTCTAAAGTGAGAGGTTCATCTGAAGGGGTGCAAGCATTTAACTATGGGACCATGACTGTGCAGTCTCTGTGACTCCCTAGACACATGTAAAACTCCCTAGACACAGGATTGCTATACTTGGTGATCACCTACTCTAGAATTTTCCATACTCGGTGAAGAAATACTCACCTGTTTTCCTGGAATTGCTCCCTCACAAGCAGGTTGCCATCCCCCTTCTAGTGAACTGGTTTATATACCATATTTTTTTGGTATACCAATTGGTGTTAGCTTCAGTGATGTTACAGGGTACCTTCAGAGAACACCCAGAGTTCCCTTTGTACCTAAAACCATTTGTGCCTGTGCTCCTCTTCACTTCTTAGCAGGATTGGATCCCAACAGGGATGAATGAGGAGGAAACCCTATGCAGGACTAATTGAGATGTTAATAGATTCCCTGCACGTTAATTTTACTAGCATTTTTATTTTTAAATATTTCATACCTACATACACTGGTTGGTGGGTTGCGTTCCTAAAGGACCTTATGCAGGGTTGCACATAAGCCCAGAAGAGCCCACTACCCCTCAGAACTGGACATCAGTGCTTTGGTTGGTATCTCTTATATGGGGGACATTTCCTATGACCACCCCAATGCTGAAGGCATGCCGACTGGTATCAGCATGGTTGGGACTGCATGTACAATGCTAACTTGTCTTGGAAATACCAGCCCTTATGCCATTGTGCTAGGCCATAAGCACTAGAGAGCATTTTTTTTTATTTAAAAAATATAAAGTTACCCTCCAAGGGCTGAACATATGGGTAGCAGCACATAGGCTAATCCAATATTAGCTGCTAAGAAGGTACTTCAGACATTCTCAGGTTGAACATGTGCCAGGAATACAACTGCTGCATCATATTGTGGAGGCTGTTCTTGCTGTATTGAATATAACAAGATTTCCTGTAAGACTGACTGAATCTAATGATGAGTATAGCAGTTAAGAGCCAAATTTAAGCTAAGCTCCAGGTGTGAAATTAATTGCATAGTTACATTGATCCAACTTGGACTAATGTAAGTATGTATATTGTATACTTGATGGATCACTGTGGAAGTTGACAATTACAGTGGCATTTGGTTCTACTGCGGTGATCACCTCAATCTTCCTGGTCCTGTGCTGAGTGGCTGACCAATTGCAAACTGACCACAGCTGCCCCACTGCATGCTGACCACAATCTCCAAGAACTGGAGATTGTGACATCACTGGCCCTCCTCCACCCTGTCCATTCACAGAATGTATTGTACTCTTTGTAAAAATTCAAAGCATTCTGTGAGCGCCAGCGGTGCCATACAAGTGAGCCCCTATAGTCAGTATGCAGTTGAGCAGCCACTTAGCACACAACCCATAAGATAACAATAATTTCTGCAGAAGCACTGGCTACTATTGGCTACTACACTGAATGTCAGCTTAAAGGTTCTATCGCTGAATCTGAAGAATACATTTTGACTGTTCCCATCTGTCAGTTACATACCTTCCAACTTTAAAACTTGTGAATCAGGGCCAATTTAGAGTGATATAGACCTGCAGTTAGCTTAACACACTATGGCAATACAGACTGTACACACTGCCTCCTCCTCTGTATACACTGCACCCCTCCCCCAACCCCCGCACACACTTACCCCCTCCATGGACACACTTACCTCCTGTACACACTGGGTTAAAACTGACATGGTCACAACACAATTGCCCGTCCGTATTTACTTGTTGGAGGAGGTTCTTTCTTGATGGATTGACACTGGCTGGTATTTCAACAAAGCTTCTGCTGCAATCTCATGACAATATACCTGCACTCCATGTCTCCATCCCTTCCCTCACTCTTTCACAATATTTACATGTCAGCCGTACCCCCCCTTCACCATAAGGACCTCACCGCTGCTGTCTGAGAGCAAGAGGGGGGTTGGAGAGGATGATCTTCGACAGTGCTGTGGTGTATGTTAGTGGCGTAACAAGTGTTTTGGCACTAGGCTCTGAGACACAGCCCGAACAGATCTATGGGACTCCAGGATTTTGTTAAAACCCTGCGACATTCTTGTGGAATCAGGGAAAGTTGAGAGGTATTCAGTTACATCTTTTAATGTGGAACTGTAGCTAAAAGTAAAGTGGGGAACAGTTAAAACCTTTGTCAAGTTTTTATTGTTGCACTGTTTTGTTGGGGTTTTGGGGTTGTATTCGATATGTCCAAATAGAGATCACACAAATACTTGTAAGTATAACATTTATTACAAGTAAAGAAAGATACAAATAAAGAAAAAGAAAATATAACAAGAATACTTAACTAAAGATGCTGTTTCCGCCACGGGTCCCTCCATTATATGGCGTGGCGCACAGGTGACCCCAGACATTTGCTTATTGCAGCTCTGAGATGAGACAAATATTTCCAGTCTAGCTGTCTATTATATACTGGACTTGTGTGTAAGCCAGGGGCGGACTGATCATTTGAGCACTCGTGCACTGCCCGATGGCCCGGGGTCAGTAGGGGGCCCCATGAAATGCCCCTGTTACCTTTTTATAGGCTTTTTTGGGTGTGCTTTGAGTGTGGGCAAAGACACAGGGGCCCCATGATCCCCTATTGCCCGGGGCCCCATGAGTTGTCAGTCCGCCCCTGGTGTAAGCAATTGACAATCCACCCACCATGCAAACAAAATAGGAGAGCAGTGGTCTGGCTTGTCCAAATAGTTACATTCCTATGTTATTTAAGGTAATCAGACCTTGTCCTCGTATAGCCCTTTAATCAAGGCTTGGAGGCATTCCTAAACATTTGTGAGGCCAACATTAATAAGGAAATGGTTAGCACTTCCGCCTGGCAGTACTAGGGTAGTTGGTTCGAATCCCAGCCACGGCACCTCCTGCCTGGAGTTTGCATGTTCTCCCTTTGCCTGCGTGGGTTTCCTCCGGGTACTCTGGTGAAAGTATGAATGTAAGTTAGGGACCTTAGATTGTACGCCCCTTGAGGGTTAGGGACTGATGTGAATGTACAACATATATGTAAAGCGCTGCATAAATTGACAGTGCTATATAAGTACCTGAAATAAATAAATATGTAATTTGCAATTTTCCGATTATGCATATATCCCAGGAAGGATGAATGGCCATTGACTGCTTTGTTCAAATAGTGTTTTCATCATAGTTGTCTTACAATAGTTTTTTTCATTATGAAATGTTTGAGATATTTTGCTACCCCAATACCTCCAGTATTCCAACAGGCAAACTTTTGCTATTGTCATGTAAAGGACATTTATCTGGCAAGTTGGGATATTAAATGTCACACATTTAGTACTTACCAGGTGTTTGGTCATTGCTAAAGGTCTTTGTTCTTGCCCCTAGTGAATATATTGGAGCTGACCGATAAGCAGATTTCCCAGCATGCTCAGGAGAGTATTTACCTGTTAAAAGACACACACAAGGGATAATTTGGAGGATTTATAAAAGCTCTATATCACAAACTGATTTTTTTTCATGCACAGAACTTATTTTTACCTGGTCCTGGAGTTGTGAAAGTATTTAGATCCTTGGGTCTTCCATAGAGTGAATATGCTGGTGTGCCATCTTTGCCCCTCATGGTGATATTGGCTGGCACCAGATACCCTGGTCCTGGGGAGCAATCATCAACAAACTTGAAGCGACGAATGCCAAAGCTATATGAAGGTGCTCTGTATTTACTAGGATCATGCTGGTTGTAACCTGCAAAGAGATCCATTCTGTAACTGAAAGTAGTTTTAGGGCAAATATACACATCATAATCATGGTAACATCATTTATTCTCAAAAGCACAAAACTATGGGCACAAGTTCTCCTTGAAATCACACATTTTATTACATAATACAGTATATAGTATACTATATTAAAATTATATCATATTACATTTTTGTTTTTAAGTTTAGATACACTTTAAAGCAGAACTTCACTTTCTAAATCCACATGGACCATTTTTAATCATTATGCTGCTAGCACTAGTAAATAGATATGAAAGTATATCATATTTTACTGGTTTAAATTTTTTTTCTTCAGTAACTTTATGGTTTCCAGGCCTAGGCAAATGATGTCATACATTCCAAGACTCTTCAGGAGGGGAGGATGGGTTTTCTCAGCTAAGCACGCACTCCTAACTGCACACCTGAGCTAAGGGCATATGGATTCCAGCAAAGTAAAGTAAATGCAACATGAACCATCTGCCCTTACTTAAGATGGTCATGATCAGAAATGATCAGACATGGATGGGTGAGTTTGCTTTGAATGTTAAAAATGAATTAAATAGCATTTTTGGTTTGTGGTGATCAGATGCAGTGTAGTTCCACTTTAAGGATTTTTAAATAGAAGCCTAACTGGGTTAGGACCAGCGTTGACAGACATTTCTTTGCTAAAGAACTGATGTCCCACTAGCCAAAAAGCATTGGGTGGAGCCAGTAGGAATGATGTCAATACATTAACCACTTCCCGACCGGCCGTTGCATATAAACGGCCGGACGGTGGCACTGCAGGGTCGGGTGGCCGTCTATAAACGGCCTCCCCGCACCCTGCTTGTGCGCGCTCCCTGGGAGCGCGCAGCACACACCGCGATCCGGTGCCCGCTGTGTCCTCTGGACACAGTGAAACACCGATCGTCGGACGGGACCTCTGTACGAGGTCCCGATCATGTGATCACTGATTGGCCAATCAGTGATCACATGCAAAGTAGTAAGCAAGATGTCACTTGTGACATCATTGCTTACTACGTGTGAAATCTGTGAATGATCACAGAGGTCACATGGTACAAGCCTATTCACAACAGGCTTGTACCATGTGACAAGCTGTGACCAATCACAGCTCAGTCAGTACTTCTCAATGAGTGCATGAATGCACACAGAGAGAAAGAGAAATGATTGCTTTTACATCCTATATGCGTGTAAAAGCAATGTGTAAAAAAAAAAAAAAAAAATCTTCATCACCCCCCACAAGTAGTACCATGGTGACACTGTACTGCTAGGGTGACAGTATGTAAAAAAAAATAAAAAAATAATAATATAAAAAAATAAAATAAAAATGTAAAAAAAAATGTTTAAAAATTATTATTTTGTTATAAACTAATTTGGATTTTTTTTTTTACTAAAAAGATAACAGAATAAATTTTGGTAAAGATTTATGATGAAATATTATTTATTTGCAAAATTTTATAAAAAAAACACTTTTTTTTCAAAATTTTTGGACATTTTCATTTACATAGCAAAAAAAATAAAAATCCCAGCGGTGAATAAATACCACCAAAATAAAGCTTTATCTGTTTCAAAAAAATGGTAAAAAATTCATTTGGGTACAGCATTGCATGACCGCGTAATTGTCATTCAAAGCGTGATAGCGCTGAAAGCTGAAAATTGCCCTGGTCAGGAAGGGGGTAAAAGTGTCCGGTCTTGAAGTGGTTAAGAACGGTACTGTTTTTGGAGATCTTGAATGTACATTTTTACTATATTGTTTGAATACACGGTTATGAGTTACACTATGCAAGTTTCTTTGTTACATTTATCTTTGCAGATCATCTTTGTTTACAGTTTCGCACTTTGAGATGGGAACGCTTACTCTGTCTACAACTTGATTGAAAGGTAGATGAGAGAGGACCCTGAGGCCTCTGTATATTGAGCATGATCTGATGACCTGTGATTAGGAGTTGTTTATTTATATCTGGTAAGACACATGGTATAAATTGTGGTAGAGGCACCTGTTCACCCTTTTGTGCAAACTTTGGTGCTTGTAGTCCTAATGTTCATTTTTATGAATGTTATATATTTTTCCAGTTTAATGCTGCCTTTCTATATATTGCCTTAAACTAACTGGAGGAAAGTTCAGAACCAATCTCAGAAAGTACTATTTTACTGAAAGAGTAGTTGATGCTTGGAATAAACTTCCAGCAGAGGTAGTGAGGCAGTCAACAGTAAATAGCTTCAAACATTCGTGGGACACGCATAGATATATACTATACAAAAAAAAAAAAAAAAAACTCCACCAAAAAAAACAAAACAAAATATAAAAAACAAACCCCCCTCAAAAAAAGAGCAGACTCAATGAACCACTCCAAACTCCACCCAAAAAAAAACAACACCGCCCACAAAAGCAGGCTCGATGGACCACTCAGTCTTTTGCTGCCGTCACTTTTCTTTGTTTCTATATACAGTTGAAACTCGAAAAATTAAAAGATTTTGCAAAAGTTCATTTATTTCAGTAATGCAACTTAAAAGGTGAAACTAATATATGAGATAGACTCATTACATGCAAAGCAAGATAGTTCAAGCCGTGATTTGTCATAATTGTGATGATTATGGCTTATAGCTCATGAAAACACCAAATCCACAATCTCAGAAAATTAGAATATTATATGCAATCAATAAAACAAGGATTGTACATAGAACAATATTGGACCTCTGAAAAATATAGGCATGCATATGTACTCAGTACTTGGTTTGGGCCCCTTTTGCAGCAATTACTGCCTCAATGCGGCGTGACATGGAAGCTATCAGCCTGTGGCACTGCTGAGGTGTTACGGAAGACCAGGATGCTTCAATAGCGGCCTTCAGCTCTTCTGCATTGTTCAGTCTCATGTCTCTCATCTTTCTCTTGGCAATGCCCCATAGATTCTCTATGGGGTTCAGGTCAGGCGAGTTTGCTGGCCAATCAAGCACAGTAATCCCACAGCCATTGAACCAGGTTTTGTTGCTTTTGGCAGTGTGGGCAGGTGCCAAGTCCTGCTGGAAAATGAAGTCAGCATCCCCATAAAGCTTGTCTGCGGAAGGAAGCATGAAGTGCTCCAAAATCTCCTGGTAGATGGCTGCGTTGACCCTGGACTTAATGAAGCACAGTGGACCAACACCAGCAGATGACATGGCTCCCCAAATCACCACAGACTGTGGAAACTTCACACTGGACTTCAAGCATCTTGCAGTGTGTGCCTCTCCATTCTTCCTCCATACTCTGGGTCCTTGGTTTCCAAATGAGATGCAAAAGTTGCTCTCATCAGAAAAGAGGACTTTGGACCACTGAGCAACAGACCAGGTCTGTTTTTCTTTTGCCCAGGTAAGACGCTTCTGACAATTTTTGTTGTTCAGGAGCGCTTGACAAGAGGAATACGACATTTGAAGCCCATGTCCAGGATCCGTCTGTGTGTGGTGGCTCCTGATGCACTGACTCCAGCCTCAGTCCACTCCTTGTGAAAGTCCCCAACACTTTTGAATGGCCTTTTTCTGACAATCCTCTCCAGGCTGCGGTCATCGCTGCTGCTTGTGCACCTTTTTCTTCCACACTTTTCCCTTCCACATAACTTTCTATTAATGTGCTTTGATACAGCACTTTGGAAACATCCAACTTCTTTTGCAATTACCTTTTGAGGCTTTCCCTCCTTATGGAGGGTGTCAAAGATGGTTTTCTGCACAACTGGCAGGTCAACAGTCTTTCCCATAATTGTGATTCCTACTGAACCAGACTGAGAGGCTCAGGAACCCTTTGCAGGTGTTATGGCTTAATTATCTGATTAGAGTGGGACACTTTGAGCCTAGAACATTGCACCTTTTCACAATATTCAAATTTTCTGAGATTGTGGATTTGGGGTTTTCATGAACTGTAAGCCATAATCATCACAATTATGACAAATCACGGCTTGAACTATCTTGCTTTGCATGTAATGAGTCTATCTCATATATTAGTTTCACCTTTTAAGTTGCATTACTGAAATAAATGAACTTTTGCACGATATTCTAATTTTTCGAGTTTCACCTGTATATTTGTGATTCTGTATATACACAATAAACTCAGGCTTATTCTTTATATGTTTTTATCTCTGCCCTGAGATCAGCTTCATAAGGCTGGGGATAGGTAAGCTTGAGAGTATCAAGGTGATGGGGCCAAGTCCACATGCTAAAGGAAAATAGCATATTTGCATATAACTCTAGCTACTTATATTTCTGGGTCTTATGCTTTTTTTCAGCATATATTCAGTTTGCAACAGGTCTAAAGATTCTTAATTGTCTGTCCTAGTCAGTACAAGTGAATGCAAAAAGAGACATAAAAGACACATACACATTTTTAAATTAACAAGGCTTGACTAATCCTGTAAAGCTGTAGCATTTACCTGTGTTCCCTGGCAGAGCATATTTAGGTCCTGGGCTGTTGTACAGAGCTGCAATTGGCCCTCGGGGTCTGTGGGGCCTCCAGGTTCCAACATAAACTTCAGCTGTCATAGTGAGCTTATGTTCGGGATGTCAGAAACCATATACCAAGATGTTGTATGTCTAAAGGGGAATAAAAAAAAAATTATTGATCAACTATACTACAGTGGACAGAAACACTCACCTTTTGTCTTCAGAACTGCCTTAATTCTTCCTGGCATAGATTCAACAAGGTGTTGGAAACATTCCTCAGAGATTTTGGTTCATATTGACACAATAGCATCACACAGTTTCTGCAGATTTGTCAGATACACATCCATGATGCGAATCTCCTATTCCACCACATCCCAAAGGTACTCTATTGGATTGAGATCTGGTGACTGTGGAGGCCATTGGAGCACAGTGAACTCTGTAATTTTCAAGAAACCAGTTTGAGATGATTTGAGCTTTGTGACATGGGGCATTATCTTGCTGGAGGTAACCAGAAGATGGGTACACTGTAGTCATGCAGGGATGGACATGGTGAGCAACAATATTCAGGGAGGCCGTGGCATTTAATCAATGCGCAATTGGTACTAAGAGCCCAAAATTGTGCCAGGAACATGTCCCCCACACCATTACACCACCACCACCAGCCTGAACTGTTGGTACAAGGCAGGATGAATTCATGCTTTTATGTTGTTTATGCCAAATTTTGACCCTGCCATCTGAATGCCGTATCAACCAGGCTATCCATTCTACTGTGACCTCTGACATCAACAAGGCATTTTCATCCACACAACTGTCATTCACTGGATACTTTCTCTTTTTCGGACCATTCTCTGTAAACTTTAGAGATGGTTGTGCGTGAAAATCCCAGTAGATCAGCAGTTTTTGAAATATTTAGACCAGCACATCTGGCACCTATATCCGTGCCATGTTCAAAGTCTCTTAAATCCCCTTTCTTCCCCATTCTGATGCTCGGTTTGAACTTCAGCAAGTCATCTTCACCATGTCTAGATGCATTGACTTGTTGCCATGTGATGGGCTGATTAGCAATTTGTTTTACCAAGCAATTCAATAGGTGGTTGGTGAGTTTACATAAGTGATTCAAATAAATTCTAATTCTTTGGAGGATATTTAAAAAGAAAATTAGCATGTTGATAAGTTGAACATCCAGGATGTCTCTCATTCACAAAATCTCTGCAACTGGTTTACCAACTTGTGTGTCTATATTCCTGGGCAAGTGCAACAGTTTGCACATTTCAAAGACAGATTTATTGCTGATGATAAGGCTAGGCTCACACTTCTGTGGGTCCTGCGTGCCATGGTTGCATTCATTTGAATTCATTTGAATTGGCTACTGTACCTGCAGGAAATGCAGGGGAAAAAGATGCATTTCAGGATGGAAGGGGGTGCCATAGAGAATTATAGGCACCAACATGAATCTGCAAAATAGCAGTGTGTTTTGCCTGCAGGTTGGGAAACACATGCGATTGGCATGTATTTCCCAACTTGCATATGTGTGAACCTAGGCTTAGACAAATTTCCACTCTAAACAGTGGTCAATAATTAAGAAGTGGTCAGGGTCAGGTTTAGCACAATTGCAAGTGCAAACTTCAGAGCAGCCAAAGGAGAAAATTATGACTCAGGCTATAACCCTGTAAACAATCTGCCTCATGATGCATCTTACTGCTCCTGTTTAGCAATGCTTTGCCTCATGACAGGGTTAAAATATGTCCCCATTTGTGATAACCAAGACTAGTTACATAATGTGGGTATGTTCACACAAAGGCCCATTTTACATGGACAATCCATCAGTCTGTTTTTGACCTGCAATTCGATGGATCAAAAATGGACTGTAATAATGGATGAATGAATATAAACAGGTTTAAACGAGCACACATCCACTTACATCTGCTGCCCATAGGTATTACATGGATCCATTTTTCTGCCATTGCAAGATGTAGCTAAAACCAAATCAAAATGGGCATGGATGCCACATACACTATATTGCCAAAAGTATTGGGACACCTGTCTTTACATACACATGAACTTTAATGGCATCCCAATCTTAGTCCGTAGGGTTCAATATTGAGTTGGCCCACTCTTTGCAGCTATAACAGCATCAACCCGTCTGGGAAGGCTGTTCACAAGGTTTAGGAGTGTGTCTATGGGAAAGTTTGACCATTCTTCTAGAAGTACATTTTTGAGGTCAGGCACTGATGTTGGACGAGAAGGCCTAGCTCGAAGTCTCCACTCTAATTCATCCCAAAGGTGATCTATCGGGTTGAGGTCAGAACTCTGCAGGCCAGTCAATTCCTCCACCCCAAACTTTATCATCCATGTCTTTATGGACCTTGCTTTTTGCACTGGTGCTGATGCCTTAAGAGTTCTCTTGACTGGAACTAGCGTGCCAAGCCCAACCCTTGAAAAACAACCCCACACCATAATCCCCCTTCACCAAACTTTACACTTGGCACAATGCAGTCAGGCAAGTACAGTTCTCCTGGCAACCACCAAACCCAGACACATCCATCGGATTCAGACAGAGAAGCATGATTCATCATTCCAGAGAACACATCTCTACTGTTTTAGAGTCCAGTGGTGGCATGCTTCATACCACTGCATTTGACTCTTTGCATTGCTCTTGGTGATGTAAGGCTTGGATGCAGCTGCTCGGCCATGGAAACCCATTCCCTGAAGCTCTCTACACACTGTTGTTGTGCTAATCTGAAGGCCACATGACGTTTGGAGGTCTTTAGCTATTGACTCTGCAGACAGCTGCCAACTTCTGCACACTGTGCACTTCAGCATGCGATGACCCCGCTCTGTCCTTTTACATGACCTACCACTTTGTGGCTGAGTTGCTGTTGGTACCAGTTGCTTCCACTTTGTTATAATACCACCAACAGTTGACTGTGGAATATTTAGTAGCAAGGAAATTTCACGGATGGACTTATTGCACAGGTGGCAACCTATCACGGTACCAAGCTTGAATTCACTGAGCTCCTGAGAGCGACCCATTCTTTCACAAATATTTGTAGAATCAGTCTGCATGCCTACGTGCTTGATTTTATACACCTGTGGCCATGGAGGTGATTGAAACACCTGAAACCAATGATTTGGAGGGGTGTCCCAATACTTTTGGCAATAAAGTGTATGTGACATCTGTCTCTGTTCTGATCCAACTCAGCAGGGGATGTGTCTATGTATTCCCTGCTGAGATTAAATGGAGATTCCTGTGTGAAAGGAGTCTTAGAGAAAGTGACAATTGTTTTTAATCCAAGATCTGTCACACATCAGTGGCAGCAATTGATACGTGAACAATGTTTTTACATTGGATTAGTGTAACTGCATATTAGCTATAAACTTTGTAGCTAATGATGCAATCAATGGTCATGAATAAAGTACTTAAAACATAATGTATCTCATCTTTACTGTAAATGTTTACTGCTAGGATTGCAGGTGTTATGAATTAATTGTCAGTCAGTATGTCACATAGGTTTTAAATGACAGCTTTTTTGGATAGAGTGGGTAAGGATTACACTCTCTGTCTACTGTATGTGTCCCCAGTGGGGAGAATCATCACTTTGTTTGCACTTTTGACTATTGTTACAGAAAAGGAAATCGAGGGGAATTCAAAATATTACATTTGACCCCAAAGCAAGAAATCTTCCAATGGGGACACCTTTCATGATGACAACTGTCCAAGAGGGAAATTCCCATCACTTTTGTAGACAGAAAGTGAAAGAAAATATCCCCAGTGCTATATAGAAAGCAAAAAAAAAAAAGGAATTGGCAGAGGTATTAATGCTTTTATTATTTACATTCACATCAGTCCCTAACCCTCAAGGTATGTACAATTTAAGGTCCCTAACTCACATTCATACATACACATACTGCACATACTAGGGCCAATTTAGACAGGTTCCAATTAACCTATCAGCATGTTTTTGGAGTGTGGGAGGAAACTGGAGTACCCGGAGGAAACCCACGCAGGCACAGGGAGAACATGCAAACTCCAGGCAGGTGGTGCCATGGTTGGCTTTCCTACTCTATCCAAAGTTTAAAGAAAATATGTTTGCTTCACATACACTTTAGGCCCCATCTTCTGTCAAATGTCAGGGTCTCTATCCTTCCCCCTTTCCTAAAAGTCTCTATTTAAAGTGGAACTTTAGGCATTTGGCATTGTGGGCAGAATTGCTTCGATTCTGTCTGTGATCCCAAACCGCTGTGCAAAAATGACAAATTGCACCATATTCATTTGCAATGATACCTAAAAACTGCAATTCTGCCGTGATTGTAACGCGATAAATTGTGCTGCAGATGTGCAAACAGAATTGTGCAAAGTTTGTCACCCCCAAAGAAGCTCCAGCAGAAACACAGCGCATTTTAGATCCCATTGAAAATTTTTACACAGCATTTTGTGACCGTGGGCAGAAACGCGGTGATTTTGCCCACGATACAAAACACCCAGATGTGAATGGAGCCTTAGGCTGGGATTTGAAAATTGACAGATAGGCAGGATTTTTAATGTAGAAGAGATGTACTTTGTCTCTTCTGCATTATTGCTTCTTACCTGCCTGTCTGCCACTGTACAGTAAGCTGTGCAAGTGCAGCTCACTGCAAAAATGTGATGATCCAGAATTATACAGGATTTATATTGTGCCAACAGTTTGTGCAGTGCTTTACAAAATGAAGGTAGATGTTACAGTTACAATACAATTTGGTACAAGAGGAAACAGAGGGCCCTGCCCGATAGAGCTTACAATCTAGGATTTCCTGCGCACGTCTGCGAGTGACGTCATCTCTGCCCAGGCAATTACAGCAGCTGGCGATTGACACTTGGAAGCCGGCCGCTCGAAGATTTCAGCAGTTCCAAGGATGGCGCTTTGCTGGGTTCAAAGTGAGTATAGTTCAGCTCTTTAACCCCACAAATTATATAGTAGTTGAGGCCTTATATACTTCCTAAGCATAGGATACAGGAATTGATCTGAACACAGGTACTTGCAATCTTTTTATCTCAGTAACTTTTCTAAGGCTAGGCCAGATCACTCAATTTAACATTATCATCAGCACTAAAGTGGAATTAAACTACCTCATCCTTTACAGCCAGTGAAGCTGCCATCTTAGCCTCTGTTTGATCTGCAGTTGCCATGGTGCTGCGCATGTCATCAGTTATGACACCAGCCATTTGATAGCTTGACAGTTTAGTTGGGTGCACAAGCAGCTGTGACAGTTATCATTCATGGCATGCCTTGAGTGTAACTGGTCTGGGAGACAGTTAAATCAATGAGTTTAGTTCGGCTTTAACAGTGAAAAGTTCAGGTCAGACAACAGTAACCAATAGCAACAGCATCAAATAATGATGTTACTCCAGAGCATAATAAATCACAGTACGTAGATTAGAAAGCTAAAGATGTATGAAATAACAATCAATATAGTGATCTGATGCAGCAATGAGGAGAATTACAACTGTAATGATGTTATATCAGAGCTTAACACGTCAATACATCATCGCATACTGTACATGGAGACATCAGTATATTAGTAAGTGTATTAGAAAGCAGCAGATGTATAAACACCAACCATTAGAGCGATCTTGTGCACATCACCATTGTTAACTCCATTGGGATAGTGACTGGCCAAACCAGAAGTGATGTCAGAGCAATACAGGAAAAAGGAACTCTGGCATTTCACTGCCCACAATAGCCAGAGAATACTGATGTCATGGTAACCAAGAGCACAACATAAATCAAACACGCTGTGCCGTCCCTGTCCACTGATTGTCAAACAACAGTGAATTGCTGTTATAGCAAATAGGGCCAGAAAAAAAGATAAAGACCCCAAAATGTGATTAGTATGTCATAATAAAGCAATACATATATAGAGCAAGCATTTAATAATACAGCTACCACTACCACCACTTTGCCAGATGGGAAATACAGGACTCAAGTAAGGTTCAGACATCAATCCTCACATAAAAATGTAGAAAAGGGCAATGTAAGAAGTACATACATATCTGAAAAGGTTATAAAGGATAATTAATGTAGTGGGAGTGATATAAGAAAGATTTAACAAGTACCCATGTAGAGCAGACTTCAAGGCTAAGTTCACCTTTTCCAGAAAATATCAGATGCAGTCAAGAGGCTCCAGGAAGATCCAAAAAAACGTGCGTGTCCTGATGGCCTGGCTTGTTTCTAGGACAGGAAAACCGTTGGTTGTTGCTTCTGTATGCTGGCTGTGAGTGTCCAACGGTTTTCCCAGCTTAGCAACAAACCAATGCATGGGGGTTGCTAACTGGAAGTTTTTAGGCCAGGCTTCTGGGGGAGACCCAAATGGCCTACAGGTACAGTATGACAATAAAATTAATGGACATTTTACACAGCTGCCCATTTTTCTAATATCTACTGGAGCCCTTGTCTGCATAGGCCATTTTCTGGAAAAGGTGAATTTAACCTTTAAAGTAAGTAGGTGTTTAATTTAATCATTTTGATGCCACACTGTGCAGCTCAAAAATCTCTTTGCACTCATATTGCAGAAGCAGTCAATGACGAACACCACTCTTTGATAAAAAGTGGAATGTGGTCTATAAGCATGTATCAAAGTTTAGGAAGGGATGGTTACACTGTAAAAAATGTCTTGCAAAAGGTTGACACATATACAGTGGGGGAAAATAATTATTTGATCCCTGCAGATTTTGTAAGTTTGCCCACTTACTTTTTATACATAGGTGTATTTTAAATGATAGAGACAGAATATAAACCAAAAATCCAGAAAAAACACATGATACAAATGTTATAAATTGAGTTGCAGTTCAGTGAGAGTAAAATAAATATTTGATCCTCAAGCAAAAACATGGACTTAGTACTTGGTGGAAAAACCTTTATTGCAAGCACAGAGGTAAGACATTTCTTGTAGTTGATTACCCAGGTTTGCACACATCCCAGGAGGGATTTTAGTCCACTGTTATTTCATATCTTCATAAATTCCTTAAGGATCTTGGCGTTGCTTGGCACGTTGAAGTTTCAGCTCCCTCCATAAATTTTATATAGGGATTAGCTTGGAGGACTGGCTAGGCCACTCCAAGACCTTAATGTGCTTTCTTCTTGAGCCACTCTTGTTGCCTGGTTGGTATATTGTTTATTTTGTCATGCTGAAGACCCAATCCATGATTCTCTTTCAGTGTTCTGGTCTGAGGGAAGAAGACTTTACAATTCATGGCCCCGTCCATTGGCCACTCGATTGTGGCAAAGTCGGGCCTGGTACCTTTAGCGGATGAAACAGCCCAAAGCATAATGTTTCCACCTCCATGCTTTAAAAAACGGGTTTTTTCCAAAATTTTCCTTTCCAAAAACATTCAAATTTTGGAAAAATTTATTTTGGCCTTCACGCCCTTTTTTCCCTTTCCTTATAAAGATTCGGGCAAAAACCTTTTACCCGGGGTTTTAAGGGGGGCCCCCCTTTTAGGATTTCTAATGGAATTGGAAACCAGTGGGGGATGTGGTTTTTTCCCCCCCCTTTTAAAACCAAAGCTTTCCTCCCGTGTGTTTTGAGCATCCCCATTTCTCAATCTCCTACCTTTTTGGGGAAAAATTTTTTTGGGCCCAATTTTTGGGGGGTTTTTTTGGGTTTTTTTTTAGTTTTTTCGTTTTTAAAAAATTTTCTTTCACAAATTTCGGGGTTTAGCCCATCCAGCCTTCCATCAAAAATTTGCCCCAAATTTCTTTTGGGGCCCCGGGGTGCCCCGGGGGGAAAGGGGAAAAAAAACGTGGGCCCTTTTTTTCAAGGTTTCTTAGATCACCACTTTAAATTTAAGGAATTTTTTAATGGCCATGAATCTTTGGAGGGGGGAAAAAACCCAAGAAAAATTTGTTTAAAAGGGGGTTTTAAATTTTTTGGGAAAAATTTGCCAAACTTTTAAAAACACCTATGGGAAAAAATTTGACCCCATTTTTTTTAAAAAGGCAAACTTTCAAATCGGGGGAAAAAAATTTTTTTTTGGGCCCCGTTAAAAATTTTTGGAGATTAAATTTTCCCCGGGGGGAAAAAAAATA